GAATATGTCAGTTCAAAAGCCATGGTACCAAGTGAGATGCCTGAGCTAAGGCTGCGACAGTCTATATATGAACATTATTTTCATTGTATTATTCATGCTATTTTTCTAAATCCAATCCATTGAAAGCATCGAAACATCGTATCCATTGGAGTCATCGACATATCCGTATCCATTAGTCATCGACAATTGCATCAAATCATTTTAATTGAATTATTTTTCTAAATCCAATCCATTGACGGCATCGAAACATCGTATCCACCAGAGTCATCGCTAATCTGACCAAATCATTTTCGGCTTCTTCTTTTTATAATTTTCATGTCTTAACTTCCAATGTAACTGAAAGAACAACGTTATTCAAGTAATTTTATTTGACTTAACAGCAATCTGTTGTTTGTTGTTTAGTTTCCTTGTTTTTCAAAATATAAATGTTCTGCAGGCATGGTTTGGCTTTATCCGGATCATTCAACAAGTCCTTTTATTGTTTTTAAAAAAAAAAATTTAAGTTATCTCTGCCCGTGAATATATATGTGTTAGTGACACACCCCTATCCCACTATTTCTAAATACCAGGATAGGCACATGATGGCCGACACCCAAAAGTAACGAAGCCATTTAATATGCATACAATTAATGACAGAAAGCGAACTCAAATAAAACATATGAATATAAAGAAATATGCAAATGAGGAAACATGTTTAAAGCATACAACTAATCAGAAATACTGCAAAAAGAATATTATAGAAGGGTACGATTACAAAGAAAAGGATCCTACAACGACAGGATTCGAAGATACCGATATGGGAATGCCTCAATGCCGAGATTGTACACCTCGATTCTAATCATGAAGGGGGTGCAAAACAAAAGTGTGAGTAGACCAAAGTTTATAATAATAACAATAAGAAAACCGTTTTCTTTCTGAATATACTAACCTCCTGTTTTGAAAACACATATAGTACTATATAATAGGTTTTTCTCAAAACTGTACATGCTATGAAAATGTTCGTACGATAAAATCACTAAAGTACTCAAATAGGGGTATCATAGTCGCCCGAAGGCATAACCATCACCCGAAGGTGAAGTTATACGACTCTGGGTTACGCTAGAGAAGAAATATATCTACATAACACACCGACACTAGCCGTGGTGTGAAGTCTAGAATTAGTGTTTGGCTTTCCTTGTCAAATCTTGTAAATTGTTCCACACATGCTCTAGACTAGATTTAGGGTTCAATGTCACTTTTGCAATCTTGCTGCTAGAAATATTCTTTCAAGAGCTTAACTTCTTACATCAAAGGTTTGGTCATTCATATGCATTTCTCGTCATTATTTCCAGTTCATTCTGTCTAATGGTTCCGTCTAGTTAAAATTTCTTGCTGGTTTCTAGTTTGCTGGGCACACACATTAAGACAACCCACATAGGTCAACTGACACCTTTTCCTTGAGTGATTTTTATCCCTAGATCTTTCTTGATTGTTTGTGGACATGACACATGGCTTTTCTGATCCCTTCTTGTCTAAAATCTCAAGCCTTTTTATAAGATCATGTTAGGGTTCATTTGGTTTTTGGGGTTTGAGATTGGAAAAGTTTTTGAGAGCTTTATTTTCATCTCCATCTCTTAGCTCTCCTAGGAGCATCAAGCAGATTTTATGGGTAATGTTCTTCATCGAATATTTCTAAATCTATCTTTGAAATTGCTTGCTTAAATTCGTTTATATGCTCATTTGTTTTGGCTAGGAGTTTTGCATTTTTAGAAAAGAGTTGATTTTAGCTTTGTGCTACCTCTTGTATTCTTACTTGAAAACCCTAGCCATAAAACCACACTTATGCACTAAATCCCCACATCATTGCATATTACGGTAGCATTATTTTTGTGATTTTGATTTCTGTTTTAGGTCAAGTTTTTCCAAGTTTCAAATCAGTGAACTGGCCTGTTTTTTGGAGTCTCATCAGTTTCATCTTTTAAGTGTTTGACTAGTGAAATTAACTAGACATCGAATCCAGATTTGCATATCATTGTCATATCATTATATGCATATTTTGTGTGTTGGTCTCGGTGCCACAAGGTGAAGAGTTCAAGATAAGCTGCCATCTTGTGAAGACCGGAGACAACACTATTTATGTGCCACAAAGTAATGAGCTCAGGGGGAGTTGCCACTTCGTGAAGACTGAAGGAATCCATCTCGTGTAAGGTAAGGTTGCACAAAGGTAAAACTGCTCCATAGATAGAGATCTAAGAATTGAGCTTGTGTGGTTCGATTTAACCAGCAGAGGAGAGAAAAAGATGAGGGGGAGATAGTGGGCTCAAAACTTTGTCCTTTGATTTTGTCGTACAATTACGTAGTGAAGGGAGTGAGGTGGAGGTGGTTTGGTCATGAGGCTCACCGGAGTACGGCAAGGTGGTGTAATGAAGCATGGTCTCTCTGGACTTACAGAAAGAGAGAGATGAGTAGGAGTTGAGAGAAAGAGATAGTGTAAAGGTAGAGAGAGAGAAGGAAAGTTGTGAGTGAGAGAGTTGTGAGATGTCCACGGGAAGAAGAAGAAGAAAAAGAAAGAAAAAGGGAGGGAAGAAAGAGAGTAATGGGAGACATCAAAATAGGGGGTGGGCTCCACTGGCACACCAAACAAAGTAAGAAAAGACGAAACGGAAAAATATATCGTGGAACATAAAATTATCGAAATGCCCCTACATTTCGAATTCCGTAAAATCCTCATTCTAGCTTCAAATTCAATTCCGCTTGCTCCCACACGTTCATAGCGGCGAGTACTGCAAGGATACGTTAACATAATGGGTTATAAGTCTCACGGTATGAGAGTCAACAAAAGTCAATTATTTAGCCTCGAAGGGCATTTTTGTAAATTCCTGCTTTAAAATTGTAAAAACCGTAAAATTTGGGATGGGTCGTTACAGTGAGGATTTTGATACACATAATTTTGTGAGGTCCTCCTTGTAATATATTTTAATGCACTGGCGGAACTATGTAGAGGGCTATGGTGGACTGTAGCCAAGGCGGTTAGGAAAAAAATTTCAAATAACACTACAATCTTAACTTTGTTTTAAACATTACTTCTAGTCAATGTAGCGAACGGCTTGCTTCCCCCAAGTGTAACCATAGATTTACTTGTTGAGGATGCTTATCACCTTAATTACTTCTTGTAATGACTTTTTGAATCATCAATCTACTATGGTTTCCTTTCCAAAAAAAAAAAAAAAAAAAAAAAAAAAGAATATCCCAGTAGATATTAACTTGGAAATCCAATTCTTTGTGAGATTTATGGAAAATAGAAGATCATAAATCAATGCAGCAATTTGAAGTGGAAACTTTTGTCACAAATGACGCGGTAATACCGTACTCTATAATTTCTCTCCGGAACACAATCCCTGATTTTCAATTTTTTTTTTTTTTGTTGGATTATTTTTCCCAGATTAAAGAGTAAAATCCTAGCATGAACCGTTTTCATTATTGATTTGTCTTCAAAAGAAGTTTTTTAATGAATTCATTGTTTAACAAGTATAACTTTAGCTAGCCCACCCATAGAAAAATTCTTGGTTTTGCCCTTGTTTCAACGATTCAACCGTCTATTTTATGTTTTAGCGTTTCTCTTTGTTTTCTTCAGTTGAACAAATGAAAAGATGAGTGCAAATGAATTACTTCAATCTAAACTGCAATGAATGAAATTTTGAACTTAGTCGCAGAGGAAGATGTATTGTTCGAGCCAATTTTGAGTAAACTTGCAAATGTGTCAAAAATTTGTCAGAGGAAATTCTCTAATCCGATAGCCTTACGACAAACAAGCTTGCTTAACACACTAGCTTTGAGTTTCGACTTCTTGATCCGCTTACCCCCACACAGGTTTAAGTATCTATAAATTAGGTTTGATTGATCAGCCCCACTAAAACTAGGCTCTTTCAACGTTTTGTTACAAATGAGCTAAATTTTAAAATATGACCTTAATACAAACCAAAACTCAAGGCCCATCCATATCTTTACCAATATGGGAAAGTTGGTTGCCCAAAATTGTTACTCCCAATATTTGATGTCACTATATATATTTTTTATTTTTTTATCAACGATAGATTTTGTTAGATTAGTCATCGACGGGGTTTAAATCTACATTATCATGCAAAGGCTCAACATTTTCACCACTGTGGTAAGGGGTCACTTGCTCTATGTCACTATATTGAATTACCTAAACATCAGATGGTTTTTACTTATGAACATATATTGTATAACTTGGTTGTGTACAAATAAAGCCCTTAAAGAGAAGAGAGTTTTAACTAAAAGCCCTACGATACTGTTCACTTTAACGAAAAACCATATTTTTACACTAAAAAGTCAATCCTAGTACTATTCAGCTTACCCTTTATTTTGTCCTTACATTAAAACTCAAAGTTTTCAAGCCTTTTTCATTAGTTTTTCTTAAAAAGAATCCCATAGTCAACAAAACCTAAGATTTGATTTGAATAAAAAAAACGTTAAATCTAGTTATCTGCTTTGTTTTTGTAAATGACAGGATATTACAATAAATTCAACTAAATTACGAGAAAAAAATTAAATTTAGTTGCATTTTCTCGTTTCCTACTTTAATTATTACTTGTTCATGTCATAAAAATACATTATTTATTTATTTATGTGTATGTTTACTATAGTTAACTTTTAGATACTCAATTATCAATATCATTACAAGAAATTCGTGTCATTTTAAATGAAAAACAATATTTAATTATATTCATTAAAAACCCATAAAATAAACAAATTTCAGATTTTGGCTTATATGGTAAAAACTGCCCAACTTAGAATGTGTGCATTGTCAAATGCCAAATATGACCTGAATTACCATTTAAGCCACAATTTTAAACCCATCTCGAAAATGAATCGCAGCCGTACACCAAAATCCAACGGTTGAAAATTGAAATAAAAATTTGACCGTTTGGGCCTAACGTTGGTCGAGAGCTTCAAATAGTACCGTTTGCTTTGCTTTTAGGCTCCTGAGTCCTGAGACAAGAAACGCAGAGCGAAACAAAGAAAGAGAGAAAGAAGGTGCCTTTCCATTAAGGAAGTAACTGAATCCGGAAACCCTAGAGGGCGAGAAGGAGATCTCAGTCATCAATGGAGGAAGTCAGAGAAGCGGTTGTTCCACAGCGACCCAAAGGTATTCGTCGATCTCACTGCTGATTTTTGAATGGAAAATATGAATCTTTTAAATTCAAATCTCTTTTTTTTTTATGTTATTTTATCTGGGTTTTGTGGAATTGTTCATTTAGTTTCTGAGATCTTTTGATGTGATTTTTTTCTAGGCTTTAGTAATTTTTTCTGGATTTTATAGAATTCTTCATTTGAATTTATGGTTATTTGATGTCATTTAATCTGGTTTTGTTGAATTATTCATTTAATTTCTGAGTTCTTTTGATGTGATTTTATCTGGGTTTTGTAGAACTCTTTATTTAAATTTCTGGGTTTTGTAGAATTCTCCATTTAAATTTCTGGGTTCTTTTGATACGATTTTGTCTGGGGATTATCAATTTTTCTTATTTATTTTGATCTACCCGTTTCTTTTCTTTTTCATTTTTTGAAATGGGAATGTTGGTTTTCTGGATATTCGGTTTACTGTTGATTGATCTTTAATTCTGTGATTCTTTGTGGATTTTTATTCTGGGGTTTTATTTCGTGTTCTTTCTTATTGTTGTAGCGACTCAGATTTTGTTTCTCGGAAATCTTCATGTTTTAATGTCCGATTTCTTCGATTTTGATGTGTTTTGCGTTTGTTCTTCCCGAAGGTGGTGATGAACTCAGAAGGAACAGGCGAGTTCTTCAGGACATTGGCAATCGCCCCATCACTAGGTCTCTCTCTTTCTCTCTCTCTCTCTCTCTCTCTCTCTCTCTCTCTCTTCCACAAACACACAACCAATTAACTAACGAATTCTTGACTGGCAGGAGTTTTCATGCACAACTGATAGCAAAGGCACAAGAAAAAGGAGTTAACAATGCGGTAATAAAAATTTACCATTATTTTTGTTCTTATGAATTTTGGTTTTTGACTCTTAGAGTTCATTATTCCCATGGAACTGGATTCTATAAATTTTGTAGAACCCTGTGGTGCTGCCGCTGCTTGATGATAAGGTAGCTCTCAATCGAAAGCAGTTTCCGGCCAAGAAGGTAGTCCCAAGGAAGGAAATTGAAAAGCCAAAAACTGAGGCCGTGGTTGTTATAAGTTCTGATGAAGAAGAAGAAAAGAAGGAACCTGTTAATCGATGCAAGCCAGAAGAAGTGAGGAAGGAAGTCAAGACTTTGACTTCAATCCTCACAGCTCGAAGCAAGGTGAGTTTCGATGTTATTTTGGAATAATGTCTTGAATTTAACTTTGCTTTGTTGGAGTACTGAAATTTTGGTTTGCTGCAGGCTATGGCTGTTGGAGTGAACACCAAGCCGAAAGAAAAGATTGTTGAAATCGATTCAGCTGATGTCAACGATGAATTAGCAGTGGTTGAATACATTGATGACTTGTACAAGTTCTACAAGCTCACCGAAGTGTGTTCTATTTCCTTCCTTCCTCCCCAATTCAGTTTCCCCTTTTCCTATCTCTTATCTTACAAAAGAAAATTTCCTATGCAGAATGATAGCCGAGTTCATGATTACATGGAGTCACAGCCAGACATAAACTCGAAGATGAGATCAATTCTCGTAGACTGGTTGGTAGAGGTTCACAAGAAATTCGAGCTGATGCCTGAAACCTTCTACCTGACTGTGAACATACTTGATCGGTACCTTTCGATGAAGATCGTTTCTAGGAGGGAACTTCAGCTAGTTGGCATTAGTTCTATGGTCATAGCATCCAAATATGAGGAAATCTGGGCTCCACAGGTGGGTTTCTTCACTTGTTTTAGTAAGTTTCACCTGATTTCGAACGTTATAATTTATTCTGAAATTTGAAAATGGGGTTTTTGATATGCAGGTCAATGACTTTGTTTGCTTGTCAGACTATGCATACACTGCCAATCAGATACTTCGCATGGAGAAAGCAATTCTGGGGAAGCTGGAGTGGTATCTGACTGTTCCCACCCCTTATGTCTTCCTGTCTCGATACATCAAAGCTTCTGTTTCGCCTGATGTGAGGTAGTTAATTTTCTATGGTTTTTTAGAAAAACAGAATCAACTTTTAAACTCCCTTTTTTTTGAAAGAGTAAAAAAAATACTAATTTGCTTTTCTTACTATCTTAATGCAGATCCAGAACATGGTTTTCTTTCTCGCTGAGCTCGGAATCCTGCATTATCCGACCATCATTCTGTATTCCCCATCCCTGATTGCTGCTGCAGCTGTCTATGCTGCTCGTTTTACTCTGGATAAGGTTCCTGCCTGGACTGAAACTCTGAAGCACCACACCGGCTACTCCGCAGAACAGTTAAGGTAGTCTTTCTTCTGTCAATCATCCGACTATTTATCTTTCTAAATTGGATTTAAAGTTTATTAGCTGTGATTGGAAACAGGTGCATATTACTAATTCGATTGCGTTCTCTGTCCTGCAACAGGGACTGTGCCAAGCTCTTAGTTGGCCTTCACTCGAATGCTGCAGGAAGTAAATTCCAAGCTGTTTTCCGCAAATTCTCAATGCCGGAATATGGTGCTGTTGCTCTTTTTGTTCCAGCCAAAAGTTTTCATTCATCATCATGAAGTGTCTGCTTCTGAGTCCAGTTTACTTTCTGTAGACAATACAACCCATATGCTAGTTGAGGTGCTTTTGAGTCGGATAGAAGAAGATTATCCAAACCGTGTATTGTTCTACAATACTAGTCTCTTTCAGTGTGTCGATTTTGTGTAGTCGTGTGTGCATATCCTCTCCTCAGGTTTCGGATTCTTCATAGTTGTGTTGTTGCAACAATATAGACTATATAGCCATTTTACTGCGTTCAAATTTAGTTACAATTCAAGCTGCAAACTTTCAGTTCAGATCATGCAATGCAAAATTGCAGTATTAATAACATCTGTTCACTACTGTCTACAACTTTCCTCGAGCGTCAGGGTCCCGTAAACAGCTGAAAGTACACGACAGAACCCTCAATCGAACACAATGCCTGTTACCACCGTCTTCGACAGTCCTCCCTTATTCGTAACACAACTACTGTCTACGACAGTCCTCCAATCTATGAAATCTTATGAAGAAAATACCTTTACTCTTCCTCTATATACGTATAACATAATATCTAATTACCGCTGTTTATCAGCTAGCGTCTTAGTTAAGTTAAAAGACATGTGTCAAAAATTATCAGGATGACATAATATCTAATTACCGTTGTTTATCAGCTAACGTCTTAGTTAAGTTGGAAGACACATGTCAAAAATTATCAAGACGACATTCGTGTTCATTCTCTCTTCAAAACCTTAATGATGCAAACTTATATGGTATAAAACTGCCCAAAGTTCCTTTTGTGGGCCAGGGCGAATGCCATACTGAATTACCAAATTACACCCACTAATCGTAGCCGTGGAATGATCCAACGGTTTTGCCCAAAAATAAAAAGCAAAATCCAACGGTCAGTAATTCAAATGAAAAGAATATGACCGTTGGAACTAACGTGTTCTGCCGAGCTTCAAATAGTATACCCCTTCGCGTTGCTTTCAGACAACTGAAACCAGAAACGCAAAGCACAGAGCAGCAAATCAAAGAAAGAAGAGAGAGAGAAAGAAGAGAGAGAAGGAAGAGGTAGAGAGAGAGAGAGAAAGAAGGAGAATTTCCTTGTACGAATCGCTGACTTGAGAGACCCTAGAAGGCGAGAAGGAGATCTCAGCCATCAATGGAGGAAGCCAGAGCCGGAACAGCGGTTGTTCCGCCTCCACCCAAAGGTATTCGCCTTCCCATTTCTGAATTTTGAATAGACGATTTGAACCTTTCATACTTTGAATTTCTGGGTCCTTTTGATGTGATTTTATGTGGGTTTCTCTTCCCCTGATCATTTGTGGGTTGGGATTTAGGATTTTTTTTTTTTCTTTATGTTGTAGAATGCTTTGTTTAAATTTCTGGGTTTTGTAGAATTCTTCATTTAAACTTCTGGATTTTGGAGAAGAACTCATTTAAATTTCTGGGTTCTTTTATTGTGATCTTTTTCTGGGGTTTATTTTGATCTGCCCTTTTGTTTTTCTTTATCATATTTATGAATTTGGAATTCGGAATTCGGAATCTGGGAATTGTTGGGTTTCATCTGTTTTTGTTGTTTACCGTTGATCTGTTATTCTTTGTGGGTTAAATAATTTCAACGCTAGTTAGGGCTTTTTCTTCTGGGGGTTTGCTTTTGTGTTTTAACTTCTGATTTCGCCGATTTTCATGTGTTTCTTGAAGGTGGTGATGGACTCAGAAATAACAGGCGAGTTCTTCAGGACATTGGCAATCGACCCATCACTAGGTCTCTCTCCCTCCCTCCCTCCCTCCCTCCCTCCCTCTCCCTCTCCCTCTCTCTCTCTCTCTCTCTCTCTCTCTCTTGACAATGGTAATGAACTAACAAATTTTTGACTTGCAGGAGCTTTCGTGCGCAACTGATAGCGAAGGCACAAGAAAAAGGAGTTAAAAATGTGGTAATAATACTCTTAAGAAAAAGATAAAAAGGAAAGAATCCTTTAATATATTGGCTAATTCATTATTTATTTTGTTTGTTAACATTAATCACAGATTATTACCTTAGTTACTTTATTCTTAAGAAAGTTTAGCTTTTTGCGCTAGGGGTTGATTGGACTGTTTAAATTTTGTAGAACCCTGTGGTGCTGCCGGTTCTTGAAGATAAGGTAGCTCTCAATCAAAAGCGTATTTCTACCCAGAAGGTGGTCCCCAGGAAGGAAATTGAAAAGCAAACACCAGAGGATTTGGTGATTATAAGTTCTGATGAAGAAGAAAAGGATAAATCTGTAGAAGGGCGGAAGGAAGTCAAGACTCTGACTTCGATCCTCACAGCCCGAAGCAAGGTGATTTTTCATTTTCTTTTGGCATAATGTGTGTTGAGCTTCTAACTTATCTGTTTTGGAGTACTGAATTTTAGTTTGCTGCAGGCTATGGCTCTTGGAGTGAACATCAAGCCGAAAGAAAAGATTGTTGAAATAGATTCAGCCGATGTCAGCGATGAATTAGCAGTGGTTGAATACATTGATGACTTGTACAAGTTCTACAAGCTCACTGAAGTATGTTGCATTCCCTTTCTCCGTCCCTCCCCAATTCAATTTTCCCTTTTCCTAACTCGTATCTTATAAATGAAAATTCCGTATGCAGGATGATAGCCGAGTTCATGACTACATGGACTCGCAGCCAGATATAAATACAAGGATGAGATCAATCCTCATAGACTGGTTGATAGATGTTCACCGGAAATTTGAACTGATGCCTGAAACCTTCTACCTGACTGTGAACATACTTGATCGGTACCTTTCGAAGAAGATCATTTCTAGGAGAGAACTTCAGCTAGTTGGCATTAGTTCCATGGTCATAGCATCCAAATATGAAGAAATCTGGGCCCCACAGGTGTGTTTCTTCACTTGTTTTAGTAAGAATTCATCTGATTTCGGACATTATAGTTTGATCTGAAATTTGAAAGTGGGGTTTCCGATATGCAGGTCAATGACTTTGTTTGCTTGTCAGACTATGCATACTCTGCCGATCAGATACTTCGCATGGAGAAAGCAATTCTCGGGAAGCTGGAGTGGTATCTGACAGTTCCAACCCCTTATGTCTTCCTGTCTCGATATATCAAAGCATCTGTTTCGCCTGATGTGGAGGTAGTTAATTTTCTGTGGGTTTTTCAGAAAAACAGAATCATACTTTAATACTCTGTTTTTGGTGAACTAACAAAAACTAATTTGCTTTTCTTACTGATCTAATGCAGATGAAGAACATGGTTTTCTTTCTAGCTGAGCTCGGAATCCTGCATTATCCGACTATCATTCTGTACTCCCCATCCATGATATCTGCTGCCGCTGTCTATGCTGCACGTTATACTCTGAATAAGATTCCTGTCTGGACTGAAACTTTGAAGCACCACACTGGCCACTCTGAAGAACAGTTGAGGTAAACCATATTTGGAATCTGTATGTGTAGCTGTGATTGGCGAAACAGATAAACAGATGTGTATATTTAGTAATTTGAGTGTGTTCTTTGACATGCAACAGGGACTGTGCCAAACTCTTGGTTGGCCTTCACTCGAATTCTGCAGAAAGTAAACTTCAAGCAGTTTACCGGAAATTCTCAAGACCGGAGTATGGTGCTGTTGCTCTTTTTGTTCCAGCCAAAAGTTTTCACTCATCTTCATGAAGTGTTGCTTCTGAGTCCTGTTTACTTTCTGTAAATGAAGATTTTCAAAACCGTGTATTGTTCTACAATACTTAAGACTCTTTGCGTATATCTTTAGTCCTGTATATCGCCAGTTTTCATATTTGTCATTGTTGTTGCTACAACAATATAGCTATTTTAATTTGTGTTCAAATTTAGCTGTAAACATCAGTCGTGGTGCAATTTTTTCTTGCAATTCAATCTGCAATTTCGATTTTGATCTTGCAGTACAAAATTGCATTATATTAATGACAATAGTATTATTGATTTGAGTACCAACTGTGATCGATTATCATGAATTGCATTGTTAACTACTGTCTACAACATTCCTCGAACCTCAGGATCCCGTAAATAACTGAAGTACACCAGTGAACCTAACCGTAGACAAATCTACAAAAGAAAATACCTCTACTCTTCCTCCGAACTTCAATGCTCATGTTCTAGGTTCTTCCCAACACATACGTCTTATGAACTGTACAAATCGTAAGAGCCTCAGGGTTAAGCGTTTTCCAATTGTTTCTTAACCACTGGACATTTCTGCTTACACTGGTACAGAACTACAGATATACAAGTCACCCAAGCATCAGTTGGTCACTTTAACATGACTTGTGACTTTGCGAGCAAAGATGAATTCTGAAACCAATGATCCATAAAGTATCAGGCCTCATGGATTAACAACGAAAACTCATCAGTGCTATTGTACAAGGGTGTATGAATATGAGATTCATGGTGAAATTATTCATAACTGAAGCACTCTAAAGTAATAGATGAATGGAAGCGCAGGTTGGGTCAAATGTTTAGAAACCTTCCAACATCGCCAACCATTTTCCTTCACGTACGTGTTTATAATTGGAGTAGCAGTGGAAACCATGTTATAGGATTCTAAAGGATTTGGACTACTGAATCACAAAGTAGGCTTTCGAGAATGCATACCCTTGTTCCAGCGATGATGGTGCTGTTGAGAGCATGAACTGCGCATGCCGTAACTCTTTCTGACAATGGAAGAAACCTGTTTTTCTTACCTTGTTTCTTTACCCCAGAATGATTTTGTGCACGTCTCTACAAGATTAAGACAATTATAGGAGAAGGGGAAAAGCAATTGAAGTAAATGTCACATTTCTACTCTTATCTAACCATCCTTTGTCAAGTAAAAAGCGCTATTAGTTCCGCTGAATGTTCATAACAGTACATATTATGTATTTGATAAGAACGCTCAGCTGCAGAGGCTGATGGTCACATTGCTGTTCTTATCTAACCAACTTTATAATTTCGGTCTTACGTCTAGTTAGACCTGATGGCTAATTGTAGAGTTTCTTACTTGTAGTCCACATGGCTAGGAGAGCTTGAATCGGGATAGAAATCCAAAATATAAATCCCATTGTCAGTTGATGATCCAACCACATAGATCTGCATTAGAAAACATCGGAGTAGCCTAATACTTAGTTCGGTGTAAAAGTGAAAATTTTAAGACATTTCTGTACAATACCAACGATTGTAGGATTGCTACAGGTACCAACGATAGTAATCAACAAATTTACAAATGGCTTGAAGTATCCAAGCAGCACTGAGTCCTTACCGAATTTATTGGCGGCCATGAAGGTTTTCTCAAATATAACAGATCAGCTGACATACCAGACTCATTTCTATGCCATCAGAATGAAAAGGAAACATAAAACAAATAGAGCAATTGAACACAAAGCCATAGTGTTTCTGATAACACTTGAATGAGTAATACTTACAACCGAGCAGGCGGAGGACAATGCATATGTGGAACTCAAAAATTGTAAACATCCAAAACATCTGACCTGCAATAAGCGAGGCACAAGCAAGAAGAAACATAGATTGAGTTAGAATGGAGCATCGGTGATTCTGCAGCATGCTATATAAAGTGATTCCTGATTCTATTTGTTCCAGTTCAATCGAAATCCATTTTTATATTTTGGATCATGTACTTCTGTTCAAGATTTGTTCTACCCCATACATTAAGCACACATTCCTACTGTTTTCTAAGGTACGTTTCCCTTTTGTTGTAAACCAAATCTCTTGTATTTTCTTAAAAGAAAAGTTATCAAGCGTCCGACGTATTCAGAACAGTATCCCGACTCAATCAGCTAGGCTCATACTGTCAGGCAATTGCAGCCAGGGGCAAGTTTTTATTTGAAAATTAGCATAAAAAAATTAAGCAAAAATGTCAACTGATGCGGGGAAGATGAGTCCATTCACTTTTACTAATTATTTTCTCATGCTAATTTTCCCCGATACACGTATTTTCCTCCATAATTTAAATTTCCAAAATTCTAAACGTTTCCATTCTAGAAAAATTCAAAATTCTTGTGAGAAGGATTTGCAAATCCTTTGAATAAGTCATTTGTAAATCTCTCTTTCGTACATTTGTTATGCTCATGAAAGACATTTACGCTCCTCCCTATCTAACATTTTGGAACGATACTAACTTGGCATCAATTTTTTGAGACTTGGAAATCTGTATGCCAAACATAACCCAAAGTTTTTCCTCTTTGAAGAGGGAAGAATCGTTTTAACAATCCAATTGAGTTAGTTTTTATTGTTAATTAAATGCTCTTAGTTTTATATTGTTAATTAAATGCTCCCAAACAATTTGAAAAGGTCGTCCATCTGATTAATACTTGCATTCCCACCACAGGAGCACCCGTTTGTGGCTTTCAAACAAAAAAAAAAGATCTCTCCAGGCTCATCGTCTGGGGAGTTTTCTTTTGGTTTCCAACAAACTGTACATATGGCTTCTTATTGTTTGATCACATAAGAGTGCAGTAGGCATGAACATTGTCGTCACTAAAGAGATGTACAGTATTATCAGCAACGGTTGAGTATAACTGGTCGGGGAAGTATCCGTGCACGCTTTCGTTATAGCCATGCATGTAGTAGTTGTAGGAAGACGAATACGTAGACTCGTCAAAGTATTGAGATGCGTACGGATAGTATTCGCTGTCGTATGGGAAGGGCCAAAATTCAGCCCTCCTCCCTGTTCTTCTCACAACCTTTAACACCTTCCTTTGATCTACATACCCCGTCACCGTCACCTTTTGTGTATCCATGTTTATTTCCAAGCTATCCACACCTGCATGCATATTATCATATGCATAATCCAAATATTGTAATTAATATAGGGAAAATGCAAATTAAGGAGATTGGTGAGACAAAAATGATGAATTAGAAAAGAGATCTTGCCCTCCATTTTTGAAATTGCTTTTCTTATCCTTTTTTCGCATCCTTCGCAATCCATATGCACCAAAAGTTCCACAATCTATTAGACAAATTAAAGAAACAAAAAATCATGAAATAAACAAAGTATATATTTAGACAATATGAGTTAGCCCCTTTGTAAAGGATCCTGATCCAGTTTTTATGGAGAAGCATTATTGACAGTTTCACACTTTATCGATCTGTATCGACAACATATTGAGACTTTACTGACAACATATCAAAAAATTAACATCCAATATCCTATATTAACACAATATCAATAATATGCATGACATATTAACAAAATATCGAGTATCCCGCACTATGAATAGTAAAGCGGGATCACTAGCTCTTTATGAAGTTTCTTCTCTGTGTCTGTGTGTCTGTGTGTGTTGGGGGTTGGGGTGGAGTGGGATTTTGGGGGGGGGGGGGGGGGTGGTGGGGGCGGGCGGCGTTGGGGCTAAAAAAGAGCTGGGCAGTACTTACAGACATGGCCTTAGATAAGTGTTTAGACTTCCCATTTCGCCAACCAAACATAGCGCAGGTGGTGTTAATAAACTAGGTTCTAGTATAACATTTTTTAGCAATATATATTGATCCTCTCTCTCTCTCTAAATTGGGCTCAACCGAGACTGAACGCAACTCAACTTGACCCTATTGCTACATGGGCAAGAAGATATCTGATAGGTTGCAGTATCTTTATCTTTTTCACAAGCCCTGACATATCTAGCTAAAATTCTTGAAACGAAAAAAGAAAAGTGCAAGAGAATATCAGAATGGCCAATATGTAGACGGTTGTCATTTGGAATATATACTCAGACTGATTCCTTCTTTTGGAATAAAATTATCTTACAAAATTGCGGACTATCTCTCTAATAGTACATGATCATTTGCATGTTGTGACAGCCTGTTCTGGAATTTACGGAACAAAATGGTATTTTTGTAATTTCATTAAGTTTTGGGTTTTTATTTAAAAATTGTTTTTGGATCTTAATTTGTGAGCCCAAGGGGTCCACCCCCTGATTTGTGTCCCTGGTTCCCCTCTTCCCCATGAACTCATCTCACTCTTTCTCTCCCTCATTTTCCCTCAGCTCTCACTCTCTCTCCCATGCTTTCTCTCCCATATTCCTTTTTCCCTAAGGACCAGTACACACCCACATACACCACACCTCAATGAAGCACCCCGACACACTCACCACCACCACCATCATCTAGATCTTCCCTCTCCCTCGTCCCTGTGAAGCATCGAGACACCCACAACACACCCAGGTCCCGCGAGCCCATGGCTTGTGAGCCGAAATCCGACCATCTCCGGCCACCCCACGACTAATCAAAGGTACTAGATCTCTTCCCCTCATCCTAAAGTCCACTTTGGTATCTAGATCATAAGCTTAGGTGTTGTTTGGCCAGCAACCGAAGCTCAGAAGGCTCCGACTTCCTTCCCTGGCGAGGAACAAAGAACTCAAGGCCTTTGGGCCTAAATCCCCGAGCCCAACCCTTGTGTAACCCAAAGAACCGGCCTTGGGGTCGAGTGGAACTTGGGCCTTAGGCCCGCTACCCCTAAAACCCAACCCAAAACCCAATTGAACTTAGACCCTTGGGCTGTGTGAACCCAGGCCTTAGGCTAAGGAACCTGGCCCAGCCTCTTGGTCCACCCTTTCGACCCAAACTGTCACATCCCGACCCGGGACGGATCACTTCCTGGGCACGCTCCACCATCGTAGCACGATATTGTCCGCTTTAGGCTTACCATTCCCTCACGGTTTTGTTTTTGGGAACTCACGAGCAACTTCCCAGTGGGTCACTCATCATGGGATTGCTCTAGCCCCCTTCTCGTTTAACTTCGAAGTTCCTACGGAACCCAAAACCAGTGAGCTCCCAAAAGGCCTTGTGCAAGGTAGGGATGGGAATATACATATAAGGATCACTCCTCTGGGCGATGTGGGATGTCACAATCCATCCCCCTTAAGGGCCCGACGTCCTCGTTGGCACACCACGGGCAGGGTTAGGCTCTGATACCAATTTGTCACATCTCGGCCCAGGCGGGACCACTTCCCCGGCCTGACTCCACCGTAGCATGATATTGTCCGCTTTGGGCTTACCATTCCCTCACAGTTTTGTTTTTGGGAACTCACAAGCAACTTCCCAGTGGATCACCTATCATGGGATTGCTCTAGCCCCTTTCTTGCTTAACTTTGGAGTTCCTATGGAACCCGAAGCCAGTGAGCTTCCAAAAGGCCTCGTGCAAGGTAGGGATGGGAATATACATATAAGGATCACTCCCCTGGGCGATGTGGGATGTCATAATACAATCCACCCCCTTTAGAGGCCCGACATCCACGTCGGCACACCACTGTCAAGGTTAGGCTTTGATACCAATTGTCACATCCCGGCCCGGGGTTGATCACTTCCCGGGCCCGCTCCACCACCGTAGCACGATATTGTCCCCTTTGGGCTTACCATTCCCTCACGATTTTGTTTTTGGGAACTCACGAGCAACTTCCCAGTGGGTCACCCATCATGGGATTGCTCTAGCCCCCTTCTCGCTTAACCTCGGAGTTCCTACGGAACCCGAAGCCAGTGAGCTCCTAAAAGACCTCGTGCAAGGTAGGGATGGGAATATACATATAAGGATCACTCCCCTGGGCGATGTGGGATGTCACAATCCCACATCGCCCAGGGGAGTGATGTCACACAAACCCACCAACCCAGATCTAGTTGGAATATTTCTGGAACATTCCTCGGAATATTTCGAGGAATATTCCTAGAATATTCCCTTGCTGACTTTTTGTTGACTTTTTCTAAATTTACCCGGGACCTTTCTTAGGGTAATTCGACGTCATGAATTCGTTGTTGACATCCATTTTCCCAAATTCAATCGTTTTAATTGTACCCTTTATGTGCTTAGGTGCAATTATTAGCGGCGATTCCATCATTCCTATTTCGTACAACTCTACGACGACGGAGTATCTATGAGTGGACCCCTTCTAAAATGCATGTTTTATTATTAGAAATGCATACATGAAAAACATGATTTAATGATTACATTTTATGAGATATTATGCTTACTTAGAATATTTTGGAATACCATACTTTATCAAACTCATGTTCTTTGTAGTATAAATGATGGATGACTTTATACTGCTTATAAATATTCTTTTACACACTTCTTTATAGTATAGATGATGGATGACTTTATACTATGAAGATGTTTTGAGATATATGTACTTATGTTGGAAATATTATATTCAATGGTTTTGTGCGTATCTAGTGGTCACTGTTCTGCCTTCGAGCGATGATACTTATATTGACCTTTGGGTTGGGTGTTGTAGGAGCCTTCAAGTGATGATACTTATATTGACCTTCGGGTTAGGTGTTGTAGGAGCCTATGGGCGATTGATACTTGTGAAGGAAGTGTTCTGAAGGAAGAGTTACATATGCCTTCGGGGCGATACTAATACCACTAGTTAGCACACTATATAAGACATGTTTTATGAAAGGTTTTATGGCATGCTAGGGTTTCGGAAAACCTATCACATATTATGCTATTAGTTTTCATAAAACTTTGGGGGTTAGTATGTTGATAATTGTTTCAATATTTTATATATATATATATATATATATATATATATATATATCTATCTATCAACTTGGTCCACTTATGTTTGTTTTGCACGTCCTCAAGACTTAGAATCAAAGCATACCATCCCAGCATCAAGGCACTTCCGCATGGACATCTTCGAGTCCTCTCAGTGTATGACCCATTCCTTTGTTCATTCAATTTTACATTATTTCTTTTTAGTGTTCTAGAATTAGTTGTATGCTCTGAACATGTTCCTCATTACATATTAATTATATTTAAATTCATAATTCTTATTTATTTCTTGTTCTCATGCATCCTAATATGGCTTTGTCACCTTCGAGTGTCGGTCACCACGTAACTACCCTGGTGTTCGAAGAATATTGGAGTCGGACGTGTTACATGTTGTATTAGAGAGATGTCGAGCAAATGTGGTTGAAATAGCAACACCCTTAATTATTTCCAAGAACGAGTGGCATTTTCGTTGTTATGATTTGTCCGAAAAAAAAAAAAAGAAAGAATTGTTCCATGTGATTGCTAGGGTGAAAAAAAGAGCTAAACCAAAAAAAGACCGACGGGAAAAATTCTTGCAGCATGTACGTTGATCTCCTACGTTTAACAAAGATTGCATATACTTTTAAGCAACGGTCGCAAATAGTTGTCACATTTTGATATATACCTTTTTCCTTATTCTTTTTCTTCATTGCATGCATGTTGGTTGGTGTTCAAGTTGAGTTGAGGAGCTTAGTTGATGTGGGCGAGCCAAGAATATCATGTGTTGAAGAATAGGATCCCTCGGGTCCAGGACATGGTCGAGAAAATAGCTAGCCTGCTCTGATACCATAGAAAAAGTTGAGGTTCAACTATAAAAAACAATTGACAATATGGGAGTAGCCCAATTACTTATAAGCACATGCACAGTCTCTCATTTTCCTAATATAGGATTGATGCTCTCAACATAATGGAATGTGTAGCTTTCACAATCATCTGATTGCATATCATGTTTCAGTATCATGTGTGGCTTTCAAATCGATAACTGATCATATCTATCAATGGCTGTAAACCAGTAACTTACCCTTCATATTCGTATCACTCAATGGGACGGGTTCAAATATGCTGTCACCAAAATGCTTCTCCTTCCGGGTTAGAATGTGAGCGCATCGAACCTAAAGTCAATTGGCAACACGTGGAGAAGCTCAATTATTTCATTTATGTTTCCATTACTGTAAATTCCACACTGAGATCACAGAAGAAAACAAAACCTAGCTAGAAAATTCGAGAGATAGAAGCAACATGCAGAAGCTGCTGCTGCTCAAACTCTCATTCAGATCTCATCATTCACATGTAAGCCGCTACTAGCCTTATATTTTGTAAGAGGGCTCATATGTTCGTTTGCAGGGGGAAAGCTTGAACCCAATTCCAACATTAATGAATATAAGCGCAATTGAAATTTCTGGGGAGTTATAAATTTGTGTATTGATAAGACCATTTACTATTTCTTGAAGCTCGATCTCTTCCCCAGATGAACCATGTAGCCAAGAGAAACCATGAACCAGAATAGAAGAGCTGAGGGGGTGTTTGTTAAGGGTTTCTACTGTGTTTGAATCATAGAGAAAGCTTATTTGCATGAGATGGAAATACTTGGGATTTTAAATTCCAGTTCTAGCATTTGCAATTGCAGCAATATATTTTATATATATCTACACACACACACATACTGGCTTTACTATCAGATGAAATTCGAGCAATGGTCCTTAAATTTTAATCCAATTGGAGCTTTGGTTCTTGAAAAAATATGTGACCATTGGTCCCTGAACTTGTCAAAATGTGAAGCAATTGTCATTTTCATCAACTCCGTTATATATTCCGTCCAAATTAAGCATGTGCGTGTCACGTGAGACTGATCTAGTTGTGTCATCTGTTGCGAAACACCATGAGATTGAATCCGAAACGTTCCCCTGCCTTGGAGTCCCCTCAACCAACTTCTGGGCAACACAGTAGTGACATCATCTCTATCAACAACGGATACTTGAAAAGGAAAGATATATAATTTAACTCTGATCATGGTTGGATCAGTGCTGCTGAGTAGCCTATTTTGTTGTTACTCGCTTCTACTACGGAAAAGCAAAGGTGAGTCAACCTTATCAAGTAACGAATCTGAAAAATTTTACTTACAAAGAGCTAGAAGACACATGGATTCGGGGAAGAACCAGGCCGTGGTGCTTTTGCAACCGTTTTCAAAGGAGTTTTGGGGCCTGATAAGGGGAAATGAGTTGCTGTCAAAAGATTGGACGTTATGATTAAAGAAATTGACTTGGATTCAAGGCTGAAATGTGCACAAATAGTAGAACCAATCGCTGGAATTTTGTCGAGCTACTAGGATTCTGCAATGAGGGGGAGCACCAAATTCTTGTGTACGAGTTATGGGCAACGGCTCTCTAGCAAGCTTCCTCTTTGAAGGAGTGTAGGCCAAACTGGTACCCAAAAAAGGAAATTGCATTAGGAATTTGCGAGAGGCTCTTGTATTTACACGAGGAGTGCAGCAGCCAAATCATCCATTGCGACATTAGGCCTCAGAACATACTTCTAGATGACTTTTACACAGCAAGAATTTCCGACTTCAAATTGGCCTAGCTTTTGAAAAGGGACCAGACTACTACCACTGGAATCAGGGGAACTCGAGGCTATGTTTCCTAAAACATGCCTACCACAGAAAAGTCGATGCTTCCAGCGATGGCATTATGTTGCTAAAGATTATATGCTGCAGGAAGAACTTCGACAAGGAGGTCTGAAGATCAAATGGTTCTAGCAGATTGGGCATACAATTGCTAGGAGCAAAGAAACAAACAATGATGCTCGAAGGATAATAAATTTATTAAAAATCGATACGCCACTGAACACTTTCTTGTAGAGAATCACAAAGTAGATCAAGCAAGCAAAAGATCACATCTTGCTCGAACCAACAAAAGAAGGAATAATCCAGAAAACCGATTCAGCTTGAATAACAATTAGTCTATCAAATTAAGCAAGCTTTGTTAACAAACACATGGAGTACATAATTCAAACCAAACTTTGATTAACCATAAATCTCCCAAGATCTCAACTTTACATATCAATTTCCAAAACCCATTACAAATCATAAAAACCCCACTACATTCTGCTGAAATTCAAAACCCTAAGATATGGGGATTTCTTAAGCCCTCTCGCCCCTAATCCTACGAGCAAGCTGGATGTCCTTGGGCATAATGGTGACCCTCTTGGCATGAATGGCACACAGATTGGTGTCCTCAAACAGCCCCACCAAGTACGCCTCTGCCGCTTCCTGGAGCGCCGACACGGCGCTGCTCTGGAACCTCAAATCGGTCTTGAAGTCCTGTGCGATCTCCCTCACCAGCCTCTGGAACGGCAGCTTGCGGATCAGGAGCTCAGTGCTCTTCTGGTACTTCCTGATCTCCCTCAGGGCCACGGTTCCCGGCCTGAATCGGTGAGGCTTCTTCACTCCTCCGGTCGCGGGAGCAGATTTCCGAGCAGCCTTTGTTGCCAGCTGCTTCCTTGGTGCCTTTCCTCCGGTGGACTTGCGAGCAGTCTGCTTGGTACGAGCCATTTGGGAAGATGAAAGAGGAAGACTGAAGGGTTTAGGAAGCGTTTGTTTCTTGGGAAAATTGGAGAGATTTTGATTTGGATTGGATGGAAAATGGCGGAGGCTTTGAGGGTTATTTATTTACGGTTTGGAGAGGAGAGGAATCGCGGGAAGTTTGAAATTTTGTGTTTTCGTGTGAAAATTTTGGAGGAGAAGGAGGCGGCGGGAGAGTATGAGCCGTTGATAACTGTGAGAATCGACGGTTGTGAGTGCTCGATCCGTGGCACTAGGATTTCGCCAATGGGAGGGGTGGTTTACCTTTTTAAATATAATATTTTTTTTGGTTGAATAACCTGGACAAGTGATGATTTTTTCGGATTTATTAAGAGCAATTTCTTCCATTTGTGGGAAATGAGATTATGTGGGTGGTAGTAATTTTAAAGTTTATATTAAGGAGGTAAATATTGGTCACAAAATAATAAATAATGTTTGCCTTAATTAATTTCTCTTGTCAAGGAGGTAAATATTGGTCACAAAATAATAACTAATGTTTGCCTTAATTAATTTCTCTTGTCAAGGTAACTAATGTTCCTAAGATCAATTTCCTTTCCGAAATGAAGGTATCCCATCAGCACAAGGGATTGGTTGGCTCAATCGCTGTTCTTTGTGAGTGTAAACCACACATCAAAAACAATAAAGAAAGGAACGTGACTGACGTGAGCCTGGCGTCAAATCCACTCAGTCACAAACTCGGGCCTCCTGCCTGAGTGACGAGTCTGACGGTGCTGGGCTCCTCAATAGCCCGATTGGGGTGGAGGACTCTAAAAACAAAAAAGAAAGCAAGATAAAGGAGGACTCTCCAGCAGAAAAGTAATCATACCCAACTGCTAGAAAGTGCAAAATCATGTAATCTAAAGGAGGACTCTCCAGCTGTATCTCTCTCAAGCATGACTACTGATAATCTCTCACTCACACCTTCGCCACGACTGCAACCGAACACTTCTTGTGGCAGAGTTGGCAATGGCATAATTGCTGGTAGGGAGGCACTGCTCCTAAACCTAGTTTGGCCTCCGCTCGAAGAAACCGCTGCTCGATCCCAGATGAATATATATATATATATATATAGAAGTTTTGGTGAAATGCATGAAGAAAAATAAAATGTTTCAACCAAAGTTGCCTAGCACCAGTTACGTATATATTGGCCATTTTCAACAAAGAGGAAGTCATGAGTTCTCATGACTCGGCGAACTCATATATCTCATCCGCGTCGGATGTGGACGATAATGGAGGTGTCCTTGGCCTTGAAGGATGCATGGAGGATCTTCTGTACACCGCTCCTTCCGTTCTTAAACGGCGACTTGACGGTGGTGGAGCTTCCAATATATATACGAATTTCCTGGACGATGTCTCCGGTTGGGAGCATGTCGCCGGTCCACTCGTCCACCTTGGAACTCCTTTGAGGCACTCGATGGAAAGCACCGTGGGTGATTTCGACTCTGGTCGGGGAGTCCGAGCTTTGGCTGCAGCGCTCAGTCCATGGTCATTAGCTCTTGATGATGCGGTGCGTTCTACGCTTGTATCTCATGTAATAATACGTAAAAGCAGTGTGCTAATTTAGTCCTTGAACTATCATCTCACCGAAAAATAGGCGCATGAATTATTTTTTCGGTGAAATAAGTCCTTAAATTTATTAAAAATTGCCAATTTCTTCCTTACTATTATATTTAAAGTTATTTTATCTAATTTTTCGTCAACTTAATCACTACATTTTTTAATATAATACTGTCATTTTCTCGCCTATAAGTTCTTAACATTTCATGTAGGTTGCAAATCTATTTACCCTCCAAAGTTAATTCTACACACTATTTATTTATGAAAATTTACTAATCTACCCTTCAATGTGTATTACATGCAAGTAACGTGATCTAAAATGACGAAAAATTAAATATAATAGCTTCGAATATAATATTAAAGATGTAATTTGCAAATTTACTAATTCAATGACTAATTTTTTTAAAAAAATAAGTTAAGAACCTAATTTTCACTCAAATAATAATTGAATTCAAGGACTCAACTAGGTAAAATAGAGAGAGGGGAAAGGGATTGGAAAATGAGTAAAAAGTCAATGAATATGAAGGGAATGAGAGGTTTTGTGGTGTCGTGGTTTTGTTTCACACTCAAAACTCAAGTCTACTAACTTTCTCTTCCATTAAGGCGAAATTATTTTAAAATGCTATTTTTATACATTTTTCATACTAAATTTATATTACTTTTTTTAGAGATCCACTTGTATCGGTAACTTTATATTTATTTAAAAGATAATAGAAATATATTATAAAAAATATAATAAATGAAATATTACTCGAGTTTTTACGCGCACTATACAGTTTATAAATAAAAAACAAATACAAGTGAAACAATAATATTATGAGCTCACCAAAAAAATAAAATGAAAAAAATAGCAAATTAATAATATAACGACGACAAGGAAAGTAACGTCGTTAGAGTTGGCTTGCAAATAAAACAAATTGAGAAAAAATCCGCCAAAGCAGAGGAGGATTCTCGTACGGCAGTTAACAATTAGCAGCCACAAATATTCTGAAATTTTTGAATCAAATGGAATCTCCACCTCCATAGGACCATAGCCCTTCGTATATTAATTGGTGGCCTCAAAACCCCTAAAAATTTCTACAAAATCCTCACTTGGATAATCATTTCTGGCAGAATCCTGTTTGGTTCCCGGGAAAATTGAGCTGCAGAAAAAGGTAAAGGACGAAGCTTTCTTTTCCAGGTTTCATATTTCCACTTGAATCAATCAATTATCCATTTTGCATGTCCCTCTTGGGATTAGGAAACTGCTCGATTTTGGTTTTGGTATTTGTGTTTTTTTCGAAGGCGAGACCTTTGTGATGGTTTATGCTGAATTGTTGTTGGAACACTAAGTTTTGAATTTGGGTTATGCCTCGTGGAATACTTGGAGCTAACGAAAGCCTTGACGCAAAACCAAACGCACTAGCATTCTAAGATTCATATAACTGACCACATTTAGTTTGATAAGGATTTATTGTTTTTGAGAACTTTGTGATAATGTATGCAATTAGATAATTGCTCAAATTTGAATTTAGTTTTTTGGGTTTTTGTAAAAGGCGATATAGCTTTGTGATGGTTCAAGTTCTGCGACCATGCTGATGGTGTATGCTTCAGGAGTTATTACATATTCAGATTCTGCTCATAATTTTCTACAGCATGAGGCATCATTACCCTGCAAGACTACCCATGTGAATTTCTTGAACAAAATCTCACTTTGTATTAACCCAATTGGAGCTCCTTGTAACTCTACACCCTCTGCTTCTTACTTTTCGTGGAGAAGTCGAAATCAGCTAAACAGCCCCAAGAAATGGCTGGTAAGTGTTTTCGTTAGTTTCTTTTGTTTAAAGTTTAGAAAGAAGAAAAGGGATTTTGGAGGTTTGTTTTAGTGTTTGATGTGTATTACTATTATGCATTACAGTGCCGGATGCAGGATTCGATTCCATCAGACGATGAGTATCGATCATCGCGCAACATAGCTATCAGTTTATTTAGGCGGTACAGGAATGTGGTCGACCGTGGAGGAGGTGCCAACCTAAAAGTATATACAGAATTCAGTAGTATTTTTGTGTGTTTTTCTTTGTTTAATTTCTTTCACAACTGATGTTTAATTTGGTTGATCAGGAGTTCATCAGTGCTGGGGTGAATGCATATGCACTGGGGTGCTCTGACGAGGGATTAAGAAAAGAACTTGTTGATATGAAGGAATCTGGTGTTGAAATTGAAGGAATGCACAGCTATGGTGGAACTACCAGTTTGAAATCCAAGATTGCATCAGAGGAGGTGAACTCGCTTCTTTGTTATTAACTTGTACCATTTGTCGAAATGCAACTATTGTAGCATATGTTCACACATTATCTGATTGACTAAGGATTGGAATATGAAATTTATTTACCATTTGTCGAAATACAACTATTATAGCATATGTTCACTCGTTATCTAATTGACCAAGGATTGGAATATGAAATTTATTTCCCGATTCCGATGATCTTTGTGATCTATTGACTAGAATGAGTCCTAGTCATAGTCTAATGTTGAAAATGTGGGAAGCAGGAAATGTATGTTAAGGTTTCAGTTGGTTAAACTTTTCGAATGTTGCTTCTTAAGGTGAATGATTAGTTAAGTGGGATCCGGATCCCCCTTTCCGTCTTTTCTTCACAATGCAGGTTGATGAGTGCATTCTGTGGTTGAGCATTATATTCATCACCATATTGTGTACGCCACAGCCAACAATAGTTAGATGGTCATCCACACCTCCAGTGTCGGACGAAGAAAGACTCAAATGGAAAGGCTTTTGTGCCCTCATAGCAAATGCGTATTACGTGAGAGGAATGGCATGGTAAGCTTCTTTCAGCATATTCAATTCCTGACTCAATTACTTGATGTTATTACAACAAATAATCAACTTCCACTTTGAACGTTTCAATTTGCTTTTGAAGCATTTTAAACACTATTTTCCCGCAATATAAATCGTTTGTGAAGGTTCAACTCTTTGCTTAAAACTTTTTTTCTTGAAGGCTTCCGGTAAAGACACTTCAGCTAGAGCAAATGGCAGTGGTTGGACAAGCCGAGGAACCATCAGTTGTTGCAAGTCGAATGCGATTAGTTTTTAGCACGCTTGAGGTTAGCTGAATATAGCACATTTTCCAAGTAACTAATTGAGAGTATTTTGTGTTCAATATCAGCCCTTACCCTTGTGGTGGTTTCTGTTATATAGTCTGCATATATATTTGCTGTAATACATTTTTAGATTGTATCAAACCAATTTACGCTCTGCCCTAGAATATGTGATGAGGAATTGACTGTGATGAACAACGAATTATTTGCACGTGCAGGTTGTGAGTCCACAATGGCCTAGAGTATAGCGGTTCGGTTTCAAGAACAGCTTATATGCTGACTGTACTTTACATTTGTGGTATGTAAATCTGTATAGCCCAAATATTTTACACCTTAGAAGGGAAAAACAGAGGGAAATACTATAGCCTCATGTTCGAATTTTACTTATGAATGTGAAGAATGTCACTGTTTTTGTTCAAGTTATTTGTTCACGTGCTATTTCAGAGGTTAGAAAGGTTGGCTTGCATCACAAGTTTGTGCTTTCACCTTCACCCTCACTCTCTAAACCCAGCCCAAAACCCACGATCACTAAAACCCTAGCCCCCAAACGAAACAGCCTGCCCCTCCTTTCCTCCATCTTGCTCGCTGCCACCATGGACACCGGAAATACAACAAGATTTGTGTTCCAACCTATTGCTTCTCGTCTGGTCATCTGATTCGCTCAATCCACCAACCTGGGACACAAAACCCGACACCCAGATCACAATTCAGGAGAGGGGGCAGCGAATTCGGTTGCTACTTCTTCCCCTCTAGAAATCCTTCATCTCTCTGTTATCGTGTCATATGTGCAGAAAGGGACGATGGAGAGAGAAGGGTAGGATTGCCATAGAGAAAATTAATAAGATCTTACATTGAAAGAGCACTGTCACATTGTATGATTAAATACAAAACTCTCTGCACTTATCATATATATCCTATATATATATATATACTAGCTAGAATCTTATATCTTACTTCAAAGTATCGTCGACGACTGGGATGAATAGACTCAATGGTTGCATATATCGTTTTCCACATCAACCAACAAAAGGGAGACCTTTTATTCATCATAAAAGCAAAGGTCTACCTTTCTATGCCCATCTCTTCTGTGGAGTAGCATCCTTTCGTCCGGATGTAGAACGTCTTCGAATGATCTTTTTCGAATCCCCACCAGCTGATATCGGCCTTGGCCTTGAAAATTGAGTGGTATTCGATCTTTTGACAGGGCTCATTGGTTGAGATTTCGGACTCATTGGTTGAGAATATTTGCTCACTGAGTGTTCGTGCCTCGAATTCATGGTGATCTCTTTCAGAGGATTCAGTGGTTGGGATTTTATGCGACTGTCAGTTGGCTTCACCTTCGAAGTAGAGGCTTTTTCGGGCTCTGGTTTCTGAGTTGTTGGAACAGGGTCAAGGATCTGAGGACCTTCTGGAGTTTTAGCAACATGAGGAGTTGGTGATCGAATCAGCGGAGAGCAGTCTGAATCGGAAGATGAAGGGCTAGTAGTACTATCCATATCATAAACGAGGTTGTCCATCATGTGCGGAATTTTTCTATCGTCATCATGTGCGTTTGAGGAAGAGAAAGAGGGTCTCTGAAGCCTTGTAAGGTGTACTACCTGCATTGAGATATGTATTAACGAATTACTTAAAAGTCATGACAAATTCTTTACCCTAAATTCTGAAACGCCATGTCTAGTAAGCAACTCCTTTACCTTTTGCTCTAGAACTACCATGTCCCTCTTTAGTCTTGTAATCGTCGAGTTCTTCCTACGTATTATGTCTTCTAACTCGGAAATCCTCTGCCATGAATTATAAGAATAACAGTGATCAGTCTAAGACTAGATTTGGCAATAAAAGAAGGAAACGAGAACAAAAGGGGGAGGTTACCTTTGAACCGGCACTTTCAGATGACTGGAGTAAAGTGGTTAGCTCCTGTATCGTTCCATCTCTCTCTTCACAATCCTTCTTGAGATTGTATATGTCTTGTTCAATAGCTAAGGTGTTTAGCTGCAGAAATCACAACGAATTACATCAAGAACACGAAAAGTGATACCTCAGAAAGTATAACTACATGCAAACCTCCCCATCAGAGCAGGGGAACTTCGAACCTACACGGCCCGACATCGTTACCATGAATCTTAAGCTACATTTAGTTTCAAACATCCCCTACCAAACCTCAATGGAGAAGTTTTCTTCAAACATAGATTTAACACTTCACCTTCCTCATATCAGTTCCTTGACAAAGATCCAATGTTTTGAAATAGTAATGTCGATGGGAAATTTAGTAGATACGACGCGTTCCATTACCTGGATGTCTGCAGCAGAAGTGACACTTGAGGCCAAGTCTGATAAATCTGACATACGGCGCTCCTCTTGCTCTTGTGCATTTAGCAGAGACATTTTATGTAGTAGTATCCGATCCCCATCGGAGGCTTTCTCAGCATTGTTATCCTGATACCAAATCAAGAGATCAACAAGATTCAAGATTTCTGCATTAGTACAAGATAACTCGAAACAACCCATGTAGCGGCACGGAACAAATTCTTACCACCAACCCATTTGGAAGGTTACGATGTTGATCACAGAGCCAACAACCACAATCAACAAATTTGATTTTATGGGAACCAAAAGATTCGTTGCGTTGCAATTCTGCGCTTTCAAGGGCGGAAGGAACAAGAGTTCCTGAGTGATCCTTAATGTTATTCATCTGCTCGCAAAGGCTGTCAAGCTTCTGCTGCATGCTTGATAATATTTGATCCTGGTAAACAGTTTGATGCAAGAATTTAAGTCAAGAAATTATATATTTCACCAACTGAAGGTTCTCAGCATTTAACAAAAACGTTTTCGAATTCAGTTAACTCGAAAGATTGTATTTTACTCAAAAACAATCAAATCTGATACTTTGGATGTGATGAAGATTATTATTTGATCAAATCTATATGAAAATAAATAAAATTCAGGAAAAAAATCTAAATTAAATTGATATTGAAAAAAGAGAGACCCGATTATGAATATAACTTCATACCGGAACAACTAAAATAAATATACAGAGAGAATCATGCTTGAAATTTTCAAATTTTGATAATTTATTGAAGAAAACGGCTAAAGATTCATTTTTTAAACAACCCCAATCACTAATCAGCAATTCAAAGAGAAAATTGAAAATTTAATAAACCCAATTTAATCAAAGCTCAATGATGACAAACCCTAAGTTCCACAGATTTTTTCAGCTGCGAAATGTGGCGGTTTTTCTTCGATTCGGCAGTGGCGACGCTTATCACGGCGACGAAGAGGAACCTCTGGAAGGGGCTAAACAGCTCCCAAGCCGCGGCTTGCTCTGTTCTCAAGCCACCCTTAATGGTTCCAGCCGAGCTGGCCTCGTCGGCATTGACCATCCGGCCTTCGAGGTTGACCCAGGCCAGCTTCCGGCAAGCCGGCACGGGGCGGCTCCGCTCATTGAAGCTGCTGGAGAGGCGGCGCGTGGAGGAGGGCGTGGGGATTGGGGTTAATGTGACCCGAGCCGCACTGAAGCCGGCGAAGGGAAAGTCTTGGTGGGATAGTTCCATGGCATGAAGGGCGGAGAGGAGAGAGAGAGAGAGAGAAGCGACCAGGTTTTGAATGCCAAAGTCCTTTTTTTTGTTGGTATTTGATTCAAATGATTTTAAATCGAGAGGGAAACCGCAATGACCGTTTGGCCAACGTCCTCTTCAAACGTTGGGATTTTTCACCTTCTTTCTTTTCCTTTTTCTTTTTCTTGGGTTTTTATTTGTTTTAAAAATTAATATTTGATATTCTACTTATGTTATACAAAAAAAAAAATACAAAAAAAAATTGTATACTTAAAAGTTAATATATTTTTCAATTTATCAAGAACAAATATTTTTGTTTCTGGGGTCCAAATATATTGCTAAAATAGTTTTTTATATAACAAATGACTAGAATCAGTTATTTAGTCGGTTAGTTTGGTAATTTAGTCATAATTGTAAAGACGTTCTACGCAGATATATCTTAATGACTAGAAGAATTTTTTTTTTTTAAGGCAAAAATCTCGTACTAATGGAGAAGATCAGATATTACGAGATATGAATTATCCAACATAATTGGAATGAAAATGAAATGCGAATTTCCTAATGAAACTCAATTTGGTAGCATTCTTTTTTTTTATTGCATCTTTTTATGATTCGCGTAAAAGAAATTTAAATACCTATGATATACAATTACAAAATAAAAGTGATTTAAGGGTTTTGGGAATATTGGTCACAATTGATAGTTTGGAGGGAGGGTAAGTATAACAAGGACTAATTTAAGAGAGAATTTGCTGAAGTTTTAATACATAAAAAATATGAGTAAAAAAGCAATTAAATGTCATTTAGTATTACATTATAGTGGTATTTATTTTTACTTGTAAGTGAGAGTTCTTAGGTTTGATTCTCGCCAAAGGCGAATTTGAACTATATTATTGCTAGCCCATTATGAGGCTAAGGCCACCTCTTCCCCCGAATATAGATAATATAATTTGTTAAAAAAATATTAAATGTACTTAAAAAACAATTAAATAGTTATTTTCTTCTTCTTACCCTTATTTATGGGGCTTAAATAGCCATACCATTGGACTTTAGCCATGTAATCTTTTGGTACGAGATAGACAAAGGCCCAGATGTGGTACAAGACAAAGGCCCAGTTAGCTATAGAAATTTGTCCGTCTTTTTACACTCAAGTTTGAAATCATCTTTCCGTAAATTAAAGTTTTTAGAATAGGAGATCAATATAAAGAAAATGAAAAAGAGTTATTATACAAAATGGTCCTTACGATTTGCATGATCAATAGAAATGGTCTCTGAGATTGTCCACCATCCATGATTTTGGTCCTTTCGTTAAAAACTCTTTGGGCAATTTTCAAAGTTTCGTAACTCAATCGATTCTTAACCAAATTCGACCCATAATATATCAAAATGAAGATAAGAAAGTGTAGAAAAAAATTATACCTATTTGGAAGCCCAATGATTGCCGGAGATGGCCGGAAAATAGCCTGAAAGGTGACTGATCCGCGGGAAAATTGGAATACTCGCCAGAAACTGGGTAAATTTTAAACGTTCATAACTTCTTCAATACTCAACGAAATCGAGTGATTCAAAAACGAAAATCATACTTCTCGACGACACGAAGAGAATGGTATCTTTATTTACTACTAACTTGCCATAGTTTGGCCGGAAAACTGCTCGAAAATGGCTAACTCGAAAATGGTTAGCCACTTTCGAGCCTTTGTCCGACCAAAACACGGCGAGTTAGCCTTCGAAAAAGACACCATTCTCTTCTTCTCATCAAGAAGTATTATTTTCATTTTGAATCACTCGATTTGGTTGAGTATTGAAGAAGTTAAGAACGTTTAAAGTTTACCTAGTTTCTAACGAGTTTTCCAGTTTTCCAGAGGATCAGTCACCTTTCAGGCTATTTTCGGTCATCTACGGCAACCATTAGGCTTACAAATAGGTATAATCTTATTCTACACTTTCCTATCTTCATTTTGATATATTATGGGTCGAATTTGGTTAAGAAATGATTGAGTTACAAAACTTTGAAAATTGCCCAAAATCGTTTTTAACAGAAGGACCAAAATCATGGATGGTGGACAATCTCAATGACCATTTCTATTGATTTTCAATCTCAATAACCATTTCTATTGATCATGCAAATCTCAGAGACCATTTTGTATAATAACCCAATAAAAAAACAGAAACCCTAAATAAACAGGTACCTAACCTATGAGATCTATGTAGCTTTAGTGGAGCCATGAAGGGGTTAGGTTGGTCCCGGGCTCATCCTAACATTTTTTTTTTTTTTTATATACAGAAATGTTTAGTGTTATGTTTATGTTTTTTAAAGGTTTTTTGGTGGGCTCGAGGTCCCAATCCGATGCTTTTACTTTAATTTATTTCATCCGGTTTAGTTTGGGGTTGGTGGCTTCTATGGACTTCATACAATCCGTTGCTTTGTGTTTTGATGAGGACTCTAGTCTGTGGACTAGTGGAAGAAGAGAGGAAGAAAGTTACAAACTTGAGTTTAGATTTAAAGAAGAAGATGATGAGAACGATACCATACTAAACCCAAACAACGATAATCGGTTGCCCACCACATGGTAAAGTAATTTTTATAAGATAAAAAGAGCATTTCGAATTGAAACTTTTGAGCCCCTTCTAGACTAAGATCCTGGCCCGCCATTTAATTTTTTCTTTTGTCCTGATCTCTTTCTCAATACCAGAAAGTGATAGACTCTCTTGAGATAAGACCCCAACCATTAGATAACACTGGGCCTGTGATTAGGAAAGGAGGAGAAAAAATTATGGATTTAACAATGTTTTTTAATTTTTTTTCAGTTACTTGGCGGCCTTGCCGACGTTATTAGAACTTGACAGTAGCAGTCATGCATGCATGTTACTTAATATTTTTTTATAGGGATTCAACCTCTCGGATATTTCAATGGTAATTAGAGAGTAGATTCCTAGCATGCTCTGGGATATCTTATATATTGGGGGTTATATTTCTGTAGTAAAAAAATTCAGTAACCAAAATCTAATGATGGACAAAAAATCCTGATAGATAAGGTACACCAAAAAATAATAGATTTTTCAATTAATGAAGGAGGTTTGTTTTGGTGTTTTTATCAAACCAAGTTTATATGCCATTCTGCATTGACTAGTTTGGGAGGCAGTAGCTTCATCATGCAGCTGGAAAGAAAAAGGTCCCCGCTTAGAAAACAAAGTTCGTTAACTTCATGATTCCAACTAGTACACCTGCATCTCTCTTTGTGATGAATTGAGACCCTATCCGGACCTCTGTTTTCAGAGCCGACAAACGCAGATATCTGGACCACTTATTTAAAATCCTACATCTCGCATTAGAATATTATACTGACTCACTTCACACAAATTAAAGGTCTGAATCACTTTCTCTCTCCCTTGAACGGCCAGAATCTCTGAATTCGTTGACTTTGCCTTTTGAGATCCTGAGAGAATCTCAATTCATGACCAAATTTTGCCAAGAGAAATATGTATGTGTGTGTGTGTGTGTGTGTGTGTGTGTAGTGGCATTCTGTGCTTCCACAAGGAATAAAAACAAGTAGAAAGCAATCTTTCTTTGATGGGTAAGGTAATGCAATTTATGGGAGGGACATGACATAAGGTATGACATGGCAACCACTTACATGCAGAAGACAGTGACTTGTCCATTTGATGCAGCTTATTATAGCCATTCGTTCTTCCAACAATCCTTCTTCACCAGGGCATCCAACCTCTTGGTTATGAAAGCAAAGTTGAAAAGGAAGACAAAGTTAGAAAGAAAACAAAACCCAACTCATGTATTTGCTAGCCTTCCACAATAACGCGTTACGAGCACGAACAATAAAATAAGTCTATGTGTTGAATTTTATTGGGTCTGATTTATGATGGGTTGATAGGAATAAAACACGTTAATTAAGGGCTCGAGTCAACATTCATTACAAAACATGATAACCACTCTTTATCTTTGTGAAATGTGTTTTATTTATTGTTTAGTCTATAACTTAATTGGATTCTTATGTTACATGTTTGTTGGTGAAAGGTCCGACATTTGTTATATGTATAATGTACTTGGCTAGGCTTTACGGTAGTTTAAGGTTTAAGGTTATTTTAGTTATGTAATACTTGATATTATTCGATAATTTTTTTTTTTTTTGAACATATATTCGATAATATTTTTTATGTTGGGCTTGTCTAAACCCAAAAGGAATGGAGAAAAACGAGTAAACATGTGAAACACAGCACAACCAACAAGATTTATAAAGGAGATTGGATTTATATATTTGATGATGACAAGTTAACGAGTTAAATTTGAATTTAACATAATCTCACACGATATGAACATCTCATTAAAACACTACACGCTGTGACATGTCTAGTTCACCAACCCCACACACCCAAAACAAATTTACTATAACGAAACTAGAACTAGGAGTGGTCCCCTTGTTGCATGGAACAAGACAATGCCAATAAAATTAGGGTGTCAACCATGTTACTCTACATAAAATCTGCAATTCTTTGAGGTTCGACTGGCCCACTATAGTCCATAGTACTTGTCGGCATCCTAGAGGTGCCTCAACCATTCATTATTTCATACAACAACAAAGTCTTATTTTACTAGATGAAGTTGACTGTATAAAATTTAGAACGCTAATGCGTTAGGTTTATAACATCAAAAAATATTTTTAAAATGAAATATTTGAAAGTCAAATCAAATAATTTGAACCTACATTATTGAATCCAGATTGGGCAACAAGAACAATTACCATCTTGAGTGGATGCAGTTTGATGCCTAAAAATAAAAGCAAAGAGAAAATGCTCATTTGGTAATCATGGAATCTTTAATTTGCTTCACTCATTCTTCCCCCAATTATGCTAGAAAAAGCATGTTTACCTCTAGATGTCGCCGTGTGTTTTCATTTTTTGTGTTGCTTCCTCACACAACTTTGCATAATTAGCGTCTCTTTTTCACGTAAGTTCGTAAGGGACTGCAAATTTGATAAATTGCTTGAGCTCCACAAATCGAGATCCTCTTTAGATCTCACAGTTAGGAGCCGATAGAACAAAAAATCTAGACCACTCATTTCATCCACAGCCCTCATTAGCATATCTAGCTAACCCACCTCATACAAACTAAGAGTCCATATCTCTCTCTCCCACTGTTAGATGGTTCGAATTATTTGGTTTGCTCCGGATTGTGAGATTCAGAGAGGACCTGAATTCGAGCTCGACAACTGTAAACACGTAATGTCACATCTTAACAAAATATTACTATACAGCTTGCATTCTATTAATGTCCTCAGTGGGTTTTGAATCTTACACAGCAACTTTTGGCACCCCCTTTTGCTTCTTTTCCTCTCCACCCACTTAATAAGTAACCTAACTGTCAATTTTTTTACAGTATAAAAGAGAACCCCAGAACACTACAGCTGCTTTCTATCTTCTTTTCCAACTTCTAATGGTTCTGTACATCAAAAGCAAAGTCCACTCCCACACTTTTGTGTTGCTACTGCTGCTTGTTTGAGCAAGTACACTTGGCACGATTTTCGGAGAGCGTCTGAAAAAAAATTGAGAGAAAAAGAAGGATATACCGATGAGTGAATACATTGCAAATGCAAGTCACAAGTGTTTGAGCTCCACAATTTGTAAATTTTCATGATTGGATTCCGAAAAAATACCTGGACTTGAGTTTGAAGGTCTTTAATGTACTCAACAGCCAAATCCAACATGTCGGAAGTGTGTGCTTGCTGCAAAGTAAAGACCTTAGAATCTTAGATGTTTTGAGTCTAATGTAATCGCTAACTGGTTCATAGATCGAAAAAGCAAGTGAAGATTTTACCTTGTCCATGTTTGGTACAAGCTCTTGCAGTTTCCTCATTCGTTCGCTAATTCGGGTTCTTCTCACCTGGCCGGAACAAAAATAAACATTTTGAGCATTTTAATTTAACATGTGCAAATGGAGCTTTTCGTTTAACAGTGTTCAAAGCAATAAGAAGGGTGTACAATGTGTGATATTGAGACACTAAAACAGTACCCTCTCAGCAATGCTTCTTGGGTGTGTGGCGCAGCCCCGCTTTGCTCGAATCTTACAAGGAACAGAATCTTGGAACTGTAAAAACTTTTCAATGGCAGCCATCTCCGCGGATGTTTTTGGCAAGCTCAAGTGATGAGCTAGAAGTGTAGGAGGATGATTTCCAGCCTCCACATCCTGCATGACAGTAACGAAAACTATCAGATACTAGATAATACACAACCCAGCACATTACTTTTTAACACAAATTTGGTACCTGAGTTTCAGATGGACTTAAACCAGTGTATGCTTTCACTTCGTCATCCCTAAAGCCTGTATCATCACCCAGAATCGCAGAGTCATCCCATGAATCCATTGGGAAACCAGTCACATAATTGTTACCACGGCCATCCCCAAAACCTCCAGCATCTTGACTATTCGATCGCATTATTTTGTTCCCAATTTCAGCAATCGGACCCATTAGCCCCGATGTAGATGGTGGCCCTGAAGAGAAATTTTTCAACCTGCTCGCAGAAGAAAAAGATGCTTCTTCACCAGTGCTATTACTTGCTCCAAAGTTCCCCATTCCTCTCAATGCACCATAGCCTGCCGCTGCAAAATGCTAAGTATCATTCTCAAATCGATACCATCTTTTTTCTTTCGAATCTAAACTAAGACTAGAAGCAACCAAACCGAAGAACCAGAACTATTGAATCTTTCATAAAATGTTCGGTAGATTAGATTTCGTAAGCGACAGTTATCACTAGTTAACTTTATTCCCAACTGATTTATCAGAATGATATACAAAGTTCATTACTTTGCTGTACAAAATCAATCAATTCAAATAACAGAAAGCAAATATAATTCGGCATATTGTGAGAAAATTAAGCATCCAAAAACTGAAAGAAGCAAAAATCTGCCTCACAATACTCAAAATTTACTTGATTTGGCACTTCTACCTTTTGGAATTCATCAATGCTGAAAAAAACAACATACCATCAATGTTCATATTGGAGAACAATCCAGCAGGCGAGCTACTATGCCGAATGAGATTGGAATTTGCAACACCACCACCGGTTTTGACAGAAGGCAAGTGACTTCCCCCCATTGAATAAGCTCCTTCATTCAAGTTCTGATTAGGCAAAGGCGGTTTCGACGTCGGCTGGTAAAATCCTTGAGCAACAGATGAATAGTTGTTCAAATTGCTCTGCTGCTGTTGAATCATCCCCACTTCATCATCCACCTTAGGCACCATAAATTGTGGTTGCTGATTATTAATCTGTGTTTCAACTTTGTGTTGTGATGCAATTTCTTCTGTTCCTCCACCACCACCTCCTCCTCCATCACCACCACCTTCACTAGCCAGAAACCGGGCGAAAATCCTCTCAGTTTCAGGGCTAGAAGGCCGATTGAACAAGGGCTCACAAACCTCTGAGTCCAAAATGTTTGTGAAATATGAGCTGGGAGCTGACCGGTAGCGCGTCAAGCTAGAGTTCATATGCTGCTGGGGTTTGTCATGATGCTGCTGATGATCTGATTCCATTGCTTCCTTAATTCTTCAAATTCTCATCCAAAAATCCAAACTTCAACAAAGCAATAAACTCCTCCTTTTCTATTTTCCGACCATAATCAGATCAAATCACAAGTAAAAGCTCTGGCTTTATCCCCTGCAAAAATTCTCAGAAAACAAAATAAAAGAACCCAACTTTTAGATTCAACCCAAGAATTTAAAGCTACCCAAAAGCCAAATCCATGTAATTCTTACTCGTGGTAAAAGATATATTGATTCTGCTATAAAAGTAGCTTCTGAAACAAAGAAAAACTGAGGACAGAAGACACTAACTAGTACCATTTTTTCACTACTCACTGAAAATTTCTCACAAATCCCAAAATCCACCAACTTTCCTATTCCTGAAATCTCAATCACCCAAGTAAGGAAGATAACATAAGAAATTCAAACAACCCACTGAAATCAAGCACAATATCAGATGACATAAGACAAAACCAGTAATATAAGCATAACAATATAAAAAGCAAACCTTTACACACTCACTCTCTCTCTCTCTTGAGATTTGCTTCTTCTTTCTCTACTGTTGCTGATGCTGGTTCTGGGCATGGAATACTAGTGACAGCGGTGGTGGAGTTCTCGTTGATGCCAGTGACAGTGACTGTGGAGAGATAAAAGTGAAACCCACAACAAATAATAATAAATAATAATTAAAAAAATAAAAAACACACATTTTCTTTCCTCTTCTATTGAGTTCAGCCCCACAGGAGTAACTGAGGACAGAAAATCTAGTCTCTCAGATTTAGTAAGTTTACATTTTTTAAGGACCATATTGCCCTCAAAGACTAGCCATTATTACAGAAGAACCAATGAATTCTAAGAGAGAAATGGCTGCATAGCGAATGGAGGGGCAGAACCATAATTATCAAAGCAAGAGAAAAAAAATGGCTGGATCTTGTATACGTTAGCAAAACACAGAACTGGGGCTGGGCTGGGGTTTGTAAAGAACATACTCGAATCCCATTTTTAGCAGAAAAGCTAGGTTTTCTGGTGCGGAGGGTGACCACCAGGTCATGGACTATATGCTGCCCTTTGTGAACGTTTGGACCACAACCACCAGTATTGTGGGTGCTGTTTTAGACAGAGACAACTTAGTTGTACACACAGGGAAGGGAACTTAGGGTTTTTACTTTCGGGTACAAGGAAACTTAATTTGGACCTTGGGCAACTATTAGTTTCATTGACGTACAGACTTTTGTAATTTGTATGGTATACAGATGCGTGTGAGCAAAAGTATACTACATGTATAAAAAGTTAGGTATGAGAAGAAAAGTGTAATTGAATTAAAAAACTACTACGTAACCTATCTGTAGAAGTACGTTGTTCTTGTATCGCTCATTTTTTTACATACGAAGCAGACCAAAAGTTTGCCTTAGGTTTCATACTTCCCATTGCTATTTTTCCGTACAAATTGACAACTATCCTTCTCCTTAAGTAATAGTGTATTTCAAGTTTTGGGATTGATGTGGAATCATTTGGTGCAGGTTTTGATGCATTTCTTCCCAGTTTTGCTCTTGTTTTGGGATTGATCTGGAATCAATTAGGTTTTCTGGTTTCAGTAGTTCGCGTTGCCAGTGTATGCAATTGATTCCAATCCCATTACTGCTACAATGGAAATTGTAGCAATATTCATTTGGTCTTCTCATTAACATGATTTTCGTGTGGGCAAGATGCTCGAGCAAAATGCCTCAAAGAGGTTGAGGCAGGCATGGTGGAGCCAAGGAAACTTTATCATCACTTTGTGTATACTGATGAGCCTAGCTTTCTTATCGCACCGGTGGTCGTACTGTAGAAGAATCATAATTTCTCTCAATTTATAATTGCCATTCTCTTTTTTTAGTTTTCTTAGATCATATTAGCCACAATATTTTGTGGTGGATATGTATAGTAATATATCATACATGTGGATTTGCTTTTACCCTCATGGTGATCAACATGTGGGTCTTGAGATTTCATATGAAGCAAAACGAATGGCTTATTTCTTTGTTAAAACTGTTGTTAGATTAGATTTTGATTTCGACCATTTGGATAAGTACATTAGTATGAAAAAATATAAAGGATTCGTGTGCAAAGTTTTAAAATGTCTAAAAGTGTTTTTAGGAGAAAGTATTTTTTGGCTTTAAAAGCATATGAAGCGTTTTTCTAAGAAGTACTAGTTATGTGTTTTTCGTAGGAAACACTTCAAATGTTTTTTCAGGATTCATTTGCATTTTTACTAAAAATTGATCCTAAAAACATTTTCATAAAAAACGTTTCAGCCAATTTAAAAACAATTTCAAACGAGTAAGTAGTTTATATTTTGAATATGGCTATTCATCATACCATACACAACAACAACAAAGCTTTATCCCACTAAGTAGGGTTTGCTATATGAATCCTAGAAAGTCATTACGCTCGGTTCTATATCACGTCTTCCAATAAATCTAAGTACTCCAAGTCTGATCATCATACCATACACAAAGTAACAAAATCAAAATCAAAGTTAAATCAAACAACCAGAGTTTAATACAAAATATTCATCTCGTCGGTTATAAAATCCGAAGTTATTTGTGGATGTTAATCAGAGGCAAGTTAATTACCTCCTCCAGTTCCACAGAAACCCAAAAATTAATTAACATCCTCCATCACTTTTGGAGAGACTGAATAAATAATGATCTTCTATTAGATTCACAAATCTGGAGGACATTATTTTTTTGCTTAATAATTTATAGATTATTATTTTTTCCTTCTTAATTCATGACGTGCTGCAGAATACAGATTGTGGGAGTTCAAGGTTAATGTTTTCAAAACAAGGGATTACTTTCTTAATTAGTTTTTGGTGCTTAAAGAAAGGATCTTTCTGCTATTTAGTTGGGGACCAATGCTGCCCCGAGGAGTCTTATACACAGAAAGATGCACACAGTGGCACATGGATTTTAATAAGTAGGGGCAACCCTCGTACTAACAAACAAAATTATGGCGTTAGATCGGGTAATGTCAGGAAGGATAATTTTTTAGACCAAATTTGTAAATTATATGATGTGTTGATTGATGATTGAATTATTATTTAAGTGTTATTAACGTGCTTATATTATTGATGACAAATCACATAATTTAAAAATTTGTCTCTAAAAATTTGATCTACGTACTATTACTCCGTTAAATTGAAGATACATATGCATTATTGAGTTGATTTTTTTTATTAAAGTCGTTGATTAAAATTTAAGAGAGATCAACCATTGATGTTCTTCCCTTCATCTAATTTCTGTGTTGGTGTATTAGGGTTTCATCTCAATAACTAATCTGATCAAATTTGCAGTGCACTTATCAAAAGCTCAAAAGTTAATGGTTCAATATTATCTATCGAATGCAAGCTACTTTTGGGTTCACTAGTTGATTAATATATAGGAATCCAAAAGTGGGTTTGGCCAAATTTGTTGTGGTGGTAGAAAATGTCACATGTAATTAGCTAATTAAACTAATTAAAACGTGTTTAGAGCTTATTGCTTGGATGGAAAAGTACAAGGTTAATTAATTATTAAGGATCTTACAAAACGGGCAGTCCATTTAACCTAGGTGCTTCATTCTATTCGAAGAGTGCATAACTGCATGGATATATAAGCTCACACTAACCAGTCAATTTGAGATATAATTCGGATATTTTTTTTTTTTTTTGGGAGGTATCGAGAATGAATTGGAATGTAATAATATCGATTTACATAGATACATTTATACATATACAAGGAGATTCGGAAATTACGGAGGCTTGGTTCGATCAAGTTGCCAAATATTGGAAACAAGCAATAGCACTTACTCCTGGTAATTATATTCAAGCACATAATTGGTTGAAGATTACAAGGCGTTTCAAATAAGAAAAGTTGATTATTCTTATACTAATCTTCTTAAAGGTGCTTATGCACGTAATCATATTAAATTAGGACTTGATTTGAGCCAGGTTATCCACGATTAAGCTTTAATTAACTAAGCTTCAGATCTTGATGAGATTAATCAAATCACAAAGTGACAACATAGTTGAGTGGAGACTAAGGAGCTGTGCACCATAGTATTAGATAATGTTGTATAATTCAATGGAGATATTTTTTTTTTTTTTTTGGGAAAAGAAGTAGAGAATTAGGTAAATAAGATGTAAAGCATTTCTACACATCTTCTAAGTAGTGTCATAACATATAATGGCATGTGATGAATGCTTGACCCACCACAAGAATAAATAGTCTTCAATCTTCTATATATTCTAGGTTTACTCCAAAATTCCTCACATAAGTGAGAAAACGACCTGATAAATTTAAGCTATTATGAGTTTTGGAGTTTATTTGGACCAATGTATTTTGAAAGATGACCACTTAATTAGTACTACGGTCTAATAGTATTCCTCTTCACTTGTAAACGAGCGGTCTTAGGTTTGATTCTCACCAAAGGCGAATTTGAACTACATTATTGCTAGCCTATTATGAGACTTAGCCCAACCCCACCCCCTCTCCCTTTCCCTCCCCTTAGTATAGATAATATCGTTTGTTCATATATATATATTTATATTGAAGGATAGATGTGTAAATGAAGTGGTCAAATTTAATATATATTTGTGGTATTTTGTGATAGGTTGACTCATTTCAATAAAAATTTCTGATATTCTTTACCATTTATACCTTTGTTAACACACAAGAAAAAAAAGAGTATTATGACTCGTATTGCAATCCGTAATCTCATACGTGAACATGATTTTCTCTCCCAGGCATGCAGTGATTCTTACATGTTACTTGAGGCAAGGGCGGATTCACTAAGGGGCAGAGGATTTAGCTGGTCCTTCCAACTTTGGCACTATCCATAGAAGATCTAAGTGTTGCCCCTTTTTCTTTTTAACGGAAAGAATTTATTTTGTAAGCCTTAGTCGAATTCAGTTTTTGTTCTTAATTAATCATATATAGTCCCCACACGTTCATTTATAAAATAAATACCTCATGGTGTTCGTACATTTGCCAAAGGTAAGGAATTCATAAAATGAAAGGCCATTGTGTCCTCACATTCGTTAAAGATCAGACATTTCTAAATTGGAAGCTGACTTGATAGTTGATGTATTTGAAGTTGCCTTCATTCGATTTCGATTGAAATGAAAGTGAGCTTGGTTATCAGACTCATGCATCAAATAGAACTTTTGGCACCTAGGGAGTGAGGTAAATATTCAGTTGTTTCTTAGTTCTAACAGCAGCTAGATCTGTAACTTACAAAGGGAAAAATAGTTGTGAAGTTTCTCTATTTTATGTTTGACATTCTTAATTGAGAAAATAGTATGCATTTTCTCCTACACTGATTTAGTTTTATTGCTATTAGTCGTCCACGCATGCGTAGAGGATTCTTGGTCACGGAATGATATAAAAAAACTCGTTAAGAGCATAATTGAACATAGTCAAATGTCACGGAATGATATAAATAAAATACATGTCCTAATAAATGAGGTATGCAGTTGTTTCTTAGTACTAAAAACTAAAAGATATGTAATTTTCAAAAGATTATATGAGGTTAAAGTTAATTAAAGTTTTAAATTTTATTAGTCATTCACGCATGCATGAATGATTCTTAGCCTCCTATCGATAAAAGGCTTGTCGTGAGACACATTTTTAGCAATAAATGACTAAGGTGGTGAGATTAGGGTTACATAAAATTAAAAAATAAAAAAAAAACCCTAAATAAATACATATCATCGAGCGCCCTCAAGAGGCTACTTATACATAAATATGCTCCAAGTACATTACAAGATGTGGATTAGTAATATAACCTTTTGGTGTCTGTTGTCGTAGACTTTGGTGGGAAGTGACTAGTGAGAGAGATGAGAAGAGAATAAATTGAAGTGGTACGGGGAGAATGTAAATCCATTGGCCATGGAATTGGATTGGATTATTTAAAGGTAAGAATTATATCAAATACAATAAGAGATAATCTTGCATAATCCTGCTCCATTTGAAAAAAAAAATACCTACAATACATGCATTGTTGGTTGAGTGATGTGAAGAGCAGAATC